TTCCTTTATTGTTTAACAAATATCATGCCGCTGGTTTTCTCTTTTGAATTATTGCACATTTTTCATGTGGGATAGTTATACCTTACTATACGGAATGGGTCTTACTCATTTTTGAAGGTCGTATGATGACCTGTTAGTTGTCAACATCCACGTCCTTTGCTCTGTGGTAGATAGTTGTCCCAGTGACAACACTACCACATCTTCTTATTTTTATATAATCCGGTATCAATGTACATTTAGGGCCAGGTTTAATCCACCGTTTTCTACATAAGGAAATGCCTGTACCAAGTCAGGAATATGACAGTTGTTTTCCATTCGTTTGATGTGTTTGAGCTTTTGATTTTGTCGTTAGATAAGGGACTTTCCGATTTGGATTTTCCTTGGAGTTCGGAAATTTTGTTATTTTACTTTTTATAGGCTAATCTATGCTTATTTTTCATTTCTTATGGACGTCAGAGAAAATAATAAATTACAAACTCACACGTCTCTTTTTATTCATATTTCAATCTTTGCTAAAAAAATAATCAAGTTTTAAAAAATAGAAGTGAAACACATTTTAATAACACGGGTTGCTTGATTGCTCTTTGCTAAACGTCCAGTGGTAAATAGTCCATGCATGTTCAGGACGATACACGGTTTGAATATCCTATTTAAAATAATTAACAACACGCGTTCAACTAGTTTAATTTGATCTCCTTACCTTCCCGGATCACATGTTTTCTGCGAACTGTTGTATGGACAATACATTTTTTTTTTGTCTTTTTCTTTTTTATTTTGTCTATAGTTTTTTATGTCCATCATTGACACTTGAATTTTGATTTGCCCCAAAATATCTTCATTTAAAACCTTCAAAAATGAATGAATACTAACGATGTTGTCATTCATTGACATTAAGTTTAAAGATAGTAGATATATTGCAAGAGTTGTAATGGCGAGAAAAACACTTCTTTTCCGTATTCCCTGAAACGGGACACTTTAAAATGTTTGCAATAGTAAAATTGACGTTCTACCTCAAATGAAAGATTGTGAATTATGTTCACTTTATATTACTTGATCGGATAAGAATACGTAACTGAAAAAACGGATGAGTAAATAGATGTTCAAATCAAAGAAGAAATCAGTCAAAAAACATCGTAGGGTTATAAAAATCGAACGCTGTTTTATCTTAAAAGATATGTTTGTTTTAAAAAAGTACTTGTTTAAAGTTATCGCACAAAAATATTCCAAAAAATGAATGGATTCTTTTTTAAGGGAGTTTTGCACATTTAATACGAGAGCAGAAATCGATTTGTCTTTTTAACATTATTTTGGGATCATGAACTCCTGTTTAGAAATTACTTGTATGAGTTGTATGGATTGCATTGGTTTTTATTATCTTATTTGTATAGAATAGAAAATTGTAAAGGGAAACGTGTCAAAGAGACAACAACCCCACCAAAGAGCAGAAAACAGCTCAAACCCACCAATGGGTCTTCAGCCCACAGAGAAAATCCCGCACCCGGAGGCGGGCTTCAGCTGGCCCCTAAACAATAGTGTATACTTGTTCAGCAAAATAGACGCCAAACTAAACTTCGAAACATACAAATGAACCAAAAATAAAAAAAAAAAAAAAAAACACACACACAAGACATACAAAGACTAGAGACTTGGGATAGGCGCAAAAATGCGGCGGGATTAAATATGTTTTGTGAGATCTCACACCCCTCCCCTAATACCTCTAGGAAATGTGGAATAAACAAACACACAGTAAAGTGCACAGTAAAAATCAGTTTAAGTCCGAGTCGGATGTTAGAGTAGGTAACAGAAGAAACTAAGCAAAATGACAGTGATAAATATATATTAACAACGGACTACTAGCAGTTACGAACATGCCAACTCCAGACTTCAACTGATTAAAAGATTATGTCTTCATTATATGAAAATCAACCACAATCCATCCCGTTAGGGATTTAGTATCATGCCATCATAAATTATTCGAGATGAACATAACCCGTATCATGCCAACAACTGGTTTTAGAATAAATGTGTTTATTTCTGATGCAAGTAGAATATGTCTAGAAGGTTTATTCCTTGAATGCCAACATCCTTTGATCTACCGACAATTTACCTGTAAAATTATGTTGGCGTTCGAGGAATAGGTGTAAGTAGTTATCACAACAAAAGTGCATGCTTAGCAAAACAATCATACTAATTAAACAGATAGGTAAATTACAGGTAGCGAAATCTAGTTCATGTCGGTCAAGTTGTTAAAAATCATTTTTTGCTGTTACTGCTTGAACAAATATGGATTCTCTTAAAATGAAACTTTGAAAAGTGTTGCATCACAAAGTCAACATGTGCATATTGTCAGGAATTCCAGTTTGCACAAATTCTACAATAGACTCTTTGGACTTTCAAGTTTTTTTCAATATTTCTATAATTGTGTGTGCTGTAATATCCTCCCATATTACTTGATGGAATTTCTTGAAACTTTGTATCTCGTGTTAGATTACTATGTTTTATTTTGTTCAGTTGTTCAGGATATTTTTCTTGGTTATAATATTACACACTTTTTTTTTATTGTAAGTGATTCATAATATATTGTTTAGGTGTTTTTTATGTTCGCAACTCATCGGAATTCTTGTTACCCTATTTTAAGAATTTTCTTGAAACTTTGTAGAGTTGTGGAAGATATTTTTATAGTTTTTTCATAGCATAAAAAGAAGAAAAAAATCAATTTTGAATAATATATTTTTTATTTGTACACAGAAAGTAATACATATAACATAAGCAAACATTTAGCAGATTGACAAAAAGCACTACATATGTGATCTGATAACAATTGTTGAATAGTTTATACAAGCACTTTTCACATTTAACAGTCTATTACAAGTGTAAAAGATACGATGCTGAGTCTGCAAACTGTACAGTTGTCATCTCTCTCACGGTCTCTTGGGTGTGGAGTCTGGATGATTTTCTTGATCTTTGAGTGCCACCCCTCTAATGTGTTGGTTGTTCTTGGTCCTACAGTGTTGTAATGGTTCCACAGATGACGGTTGCCTTCTACCCAGTACTCGGTCACATAGTCAGTAAATCTTGCGGTGTTGATGTCGGTATCTGCATCCTTTAAGTCTTGGAGAGCTTGAAACCAGACGCCCTCCACCTCCTCAGTTGGTACCATTGGAAGAACTGCTGCTCTTCTCACCAGTCTGTGGATGTCCTCGTTGTTCAAATATGGAACTAGCAGGCCACACTCTTGAGTTTTCCGCCAGATACACTTGGTATAGTGGAAAAAGCAACCTTTCTTGGTGATGCCAGGAAACACTGTAGATGCTGCATTGTGTGCTGCTGTCTCGTAGTCAAGTACTATAGTCTCTGGTTGAAGTTGCAGTTGGTGTTGTTGACAGTAATCTTTAAGTAGTTGGAAGAAACGGATGTAGGTTGCCTGGTCTTTTCCTGGTAGTAACACAAAGACAAGTGGGTACATAGCTCAATCCTCAAAGCTATGTAGGGTGTATAACTGGTAAAAAGTAGAGGGACAACTGTAAAAGGTACCATTACCATAAAGAGTAGAAGCTGCTGTCAAGTGGCTCAAGTTGAAGATGGTGCTGAATAGCAGGATTAATTAATTGTTCAATTGAAAATTTCATATACTTCATATTAACTAATAAAATATTTAAAATGATATTGAATTAAATAAATCCTTTTTTTTAGTTTGAAATAATTGTATTTAACTAAAATTTCTTTAATATTTCTAATATGTCTTATGTTAATGAACATTTCCATTTCCAAAATATCTTTTTTTTTAATAAAAAGTAATAAAAATGTTTTAATTTTCTTTATTTCTTTAAAATTCATAATAATTTAACCCCAAAATCTACTATTTTTTCTTACCAAAAAGTGATAAAATGTTGCAATTTTATCAAGTTCACTAATTATTTTTAACAGTTAAATACTTATAAAAACATTTACATAGGTATAAAAACGCCTATTGTTATTATATAAACATCTATTGAAATATTTTTGTTGGCGTTCAAGGAATAGGTAACATACAAAATGTTGGCATTCGAGGAAGACACCGTCTAGAAATAAATGCATATCTTAGAATTACGAGGGTCTATAAATACAGCTTTTTCTTCTTCAAAAGATTTAAAATATTTAGCTTTGAATTATCCCCAATCTCCACCCCCATTTAGAAGATTTATACACACTGAAACAACTTCCGTTGGACTTCTAATTTTTCTTTCAAATTAAAAAAAAAATTATTAAACAAATGCAGTCATTATTACCTGGTCGTGGTGAACCCCACAAAGAATTACATTTAATGCTAGCTACTTCTGGTCGTGATGTACCCCACAAAGAATTACATTTAATGCTAGCTACTTCTATCCTACTAAGTATTTGGATAAATAAGATGATGTTTATTATTAAAGTTTATGATTTGAGATAAGTATGGGATAAACATATATAACATTTGTATTGTTAATTGCGTATTTGATTGACAGATTTCCGCATATTTAACAATAGCTAAATCAATGTCGATATAAATTTCCTAGTTGTCAAAGTTATTACCAGACCCACAGCTATACACTCCTTCGTCCTGACAATAGATGATTGGCATAAGTTTTATTTGAATCCGAAATGGAAAAATAAAAATTTCATTATCACTAGTTGAGCTTTCAGAAACGAGTTATCAGAAAAACCCTAAAGTCACACTGAAAATATTACAAACTTAAAAAAAAAACAGAAGTCAATGAGTGTCCCAAGCAAGAGAAATTTGTCTTTAAAATGGTGAAAAAAAAATATACAAGCAAACGGCAACACATAATGTATATATGATGGTTGTCTGAGAGTTGAATATTTTTTATTGGAAATTCAGATGTGCATTTGAAAAAAGTGTTTCAAGGTCGACTAACAAAATTTTTAACAGATGTATTATTTTTTTACCTTTGTTTTTTATTTTAAATTATCGCACTACAATTTTCTCTTTGTGTGCATGTTTATAATATTAATGTTTTAATATGAATGAAGGTATTTATTGTTCTTATTTTTAAGGAATATATTTATTAGGAGTCATTTTAAGTTTCGTTCGTGATATATACCGCAACGAACATCTTTCAAGTACCAATTCTCTCGATTTAAATTATCAGTGAAGAATATATCAGAGTTTATCGTTTTAGATAATACGATATGATTGTTGTTGTACGATATGATTGTTGTTATACGATATGATTGTTGTTATACGATATGATTGTTGTTATACGATATGATTGTTGTTATACAATATGATTGTTGTTATACGATATGATTGTTGTTTGATTTGTATTGTTAATTCCTTATTTGATTGACATAATAACTTTGAAATTTAAATATGTGTATGAATTTTCTAGATCACATGTCCATGTTGTCATAGTGTTTTTGGATTTAATGATGTCAGTATTTTTTTTATGAACTGTAACAATCACATATAGCTTAAAATTAAAGACAAGAAAAAAAGAACTAACTTGGCTATGCGGTATGGGTTTTACTCATTGTTGAAGGCCGCACGGTGATAGTTGTTATTTTCTGTGTCATTTAGTCTCTTGTGGAGAGTTCATACCACATCTTCTTATTTTTATAACTTGGAGTTCGTTCTCTTTATCTTCCACCTATTTTTTAACCCTTGTACATGTCGTTTTCAGATACAAATTCATGTTGGTTCTGGGTATCCTTTTATAATTTGTTGTTGTTAATTTTTTAAATCATGAAACAAATTTACAATGTATTGTATAACAATCGAGATACAATACACGGGACTGAATAAAGTTTAATTTTCTAATTGTATACGATACTGTTGTAAATCGTTTAAGTGTTAATTTAGACGCGTTGATATCTAAATTCCAACTTTTCGATTTGACTTTGCGAGTAAAATAATTTTAGGAAACATTGGCCATATCTCTTAGAGCTGGCTGATCTTATCTACAATTAAGCAATAAGATAATAAGTAAGTGCTAAGTAGGTTTATTTTTTTATTTGGTTACGTAAAGTATACACAGCAGACCAATATTTCGTTAAAAGTACTACCGCCCCTCGGACGTATAATTTTAAAGTGTATCCTGCAATATTTATATTTTTACGGATATTTGCTTTAATATTTCTCAAATTTGCAATATATATATCATTATGAATGATATGTTAAATAAGTATACACAGCAGACCAATATTTCGTTAAAAGTACTACCGCCCCTCGGACGTATAATTTTAAAGTGTATCCTGCAATATTTATATTTTTACGGATATTTGCTTTAATATTTCTCAAATTTGCAATATATATATCATTATGAATGATATGTTGAATAAATATATGCAGCGATGTCAAAAAGTTCTTCGCTGATAAAGTTTCTGATATCTTTTTCAAAACTATCTCAACTGTATTTCGTAATTGTTTCGTGCGAAAAGTTACCAGGAACCCATTTATTATGTATCATTTTATATTGCGAAGTTTTTTGGTCCTTAAAAATCAAACAAATGTATTACTGCAACTATTTCAATAAAGGGGACAAATGATGTTCAGTTTCGAAACAACTGGCGTTGCACAATATACATTATCTGTTCTGGAGGCTCACTCACATTTTCCTAGCCTCGATCGCAGTGATTATATTAATTCCACATCTCATTTGTGACAGATTATAATGAGATCATTCGTGTTTTTTGCTTACCGTTTTTGGAGCATATGATATCAGCCCCGTGCTCGTGGTGCTAAGTCTTTAGTTTTCTATGTAGTATTTTGCGGTCTTGTTTGTCTTTTCATCGTTAGTCGTTTTTTTTGCCACGGCGTTGCAATTTCCTCTTCGAACTTATTAGTTTTGAATTTACCATTAGTATCTTTCGCCCTTTTTTGTCAAGATTAGGTTTCAAACACAACCTTAAATATCATATATGTACGTTCTTTAGAAATTTTCTGATTTGATTCTTCCAAATATTCGAATATAATTGGAAATTTTAGATATAACTAATAAACGTCAAGTCGTCTTCTGTTCCCAGCACTATCGTGTTTGATTGTATGATGGGTGCATGGTTTTTTAATTTTTCATAAACAAATTCATTGTATAGACATATTTCAAGGCTATGAATTATTTCGGGATTTAATTTCTGATTTGTTTTTTTACAGAATGATAGGCTGAAAGAAAAAAAAAGAAACTTTAGATAAATATCAATTCACAAGAAAAAAAAATCAAAAAAAATAATCAAATAAAACTAAACAAAAAACATTTCCTATCAACTGCTTTTGATGTTTTGTTCATAAAAAAATCCAAACTTCAGTACAAGTCTTGCGCACTGAGTACTAGTTAACTCCCCGCACTATTTTCCCACTTGTTCTCTTATATTACACCACACGACTGTATTCATTATTTTATTAGGTTTTCAAGTGTCATTGATGTGTTACATAATTAAAAGGTTTAGGAGCTTATTATATTTTCAATAACATTTATTTATTATAATTTCTTATTGTCTAAAGTTGTTTCAAACGGCATGTTGAACGTGACATTTCTCAATATGAATTTGCAATTGTCAGTGGTATTACTTCTAGATTACAAGATATGTGCTACGAAATTATTTCACGTGCTTCCTTGATTTTGATTTGAACAAGATATATATTAATATATGAATTGTATATTATGTGAAGTATTTGCATTATATTGCAATATCTATACAATTTTATAACCTTATTCTGACCTTATCTGCAGGTTATTTAATAATCTGCTGTAGATTTTTAAATATGTTGTACTTCCATTCCAATGCAAATAAACCAAGAGTACAAGTAAAATGCCCGTGAATCAAACCATGTGTTTCAACAGTAATGAAGTAACTTTTTATATCATTTATTCAGAGAGAGAAAGTATTTACATCTAGATTTTCTGCGAACAAAAAATGTAGAAATTATCACGCTTTAATTCATCAGACTAAATACACTTTTCGATAAAGGATATATCTTTACTGTAGTCGTTGAATGATATTTCATGATTTTTTTAGATTCATTTCAATCCAAGCATTTATATAGTTTCTTTTGTTTGTTATCTCTGTTGTATTTTGTACAAATTTCTTTGTAAACTGGACAAGATAATTTCATGCTTTGTTAACTTACCGTTGCTGTATGAAATCTACTCAGAAATACAACTACCAATTAGATAATGCAATATTGCATACTTCTTTCTTTTTATTTCATTCATTTAGTTCTTTGAGCCTCACTTTTTTTGCGGTATTTTTTTAATATTGTTAACCTTGTATCTGATCTTGTTTCATTGTACGTTATTGTTTATTACTTCGCTATTCCATTGACCAAAATTGAAAAAAAGGAGAGGCATAGAAGGAAACAACTAGTTTTACACAGATTCGTTCACTCGCCTTGAGTCAGGAAACGCATGTGCGATTGCTTTTATGATAAATTTCTGTTTACTTAGGGTGGGGTGGGGGTATGGGTTGTTAGTGTTTTTGTTTTGTTCGTTGTTGCTTTTTCTTTTTTTACAGAATTAAGGGCCAGTTACCCGAATGTAACCTACCGAATTAGACTTATTACCGGATTTGTACTAACATGAGCAACACGACGGGTGCCACATGTGGAGCAGGATCTTCCAGGAGCACCTGAGATCACCCCCAGTTTTTGGTGGGGTTCATGTTGCTCAGTCTTTAGTTTTCTATGTTGTGTTTTGTGTACTATTGTTTGTCTGTTTGTCTGTTGGTCTTTTTCTTTTTTAGCCATTGCGTTGTCAGACTCTCTGGTATATTTCGCCTCTCTTTTACAGATCAATGACAAGTTATATTTAACACTAGTTTTCTCGACCCTAGATGATTTAAAACATTAACATGCATGTATAGTCGCGACACAAATTTGTTTTTAGATATCATTTATTGCCTTCGTTTTCTTATTGTGTTACTAAGTTCCTGTCTCATTGATATGTACCCGACATTTAGATATGTCTAACAACAAAAATATTCATAATATAAATTTTAATTCTAATATCAAACCTCAAACCTGTCGGAATATATTTAGCCTTTGCTTTCATTTGCAGACAAATTTTTCATCAGTCGGCAAATGTATACCATACCTCAAATCATGCTTTTATTATACTATAATTTGTACTTTAACCTAGATTTGAAGACTCTAATTGTTTTTTTTTATTTCGTTATATAAATTATTCTCAATAAAGTTTCGATGTATAACTTGATGTTAAATGTATTGATGATATATTTTTAATTTGAATACACAATGATTTATTAGGTTTTATATCTACACTAGAAACATTTACTTATACTTATAGTTCTTTTCAAGCGATGACCATTACTTACAATAAATCAGTACGAAAATTAGTTTGCATTTCTTAGCTTGGCTACCAGGTTTTCCCGTTGTAGCATTCTAGAATGTGATAGGCAGTGGCTGGGCTACTACATTGAAAACAAATCTGTTCAACTGTGTTTGCTTCATGATTAAGCACGTGATATTAATGAAAGAAGGGACAAGGACTGGTGGGCGTGAACATAACAGTATGACATAGTAGGGTACAAGTTATCCTGTGAACCAGCCCTTTACAAATACAATGGTTTTTTTTTATAACTCAATGTGACGGTATAGAATAAAGCAAATTGCATTCATTATAGCCAATTGTATACATGTATTTGTAATATTTGTCATTGGACGTTTATTAGCCAAAATAAGACAAACATCTTGATTACAATAGAAGAAACAGATGTTGAAACCCATATAATCTTTATCCTTATTGAAATGTTAGTCACCATTATATGTGATGCCGCAAGTAGTTTTTGCAAGGTTTGCGTTGTACCAATGAATTATTCTGTGGAAAATAGTCAAACAAAACCTTGTTATAACCCATAGGAAAGTGATACTCATAACAATCATAAAGTGAAAGATATGACGAGGAGGGTTGTTCAGCAGATGTATTGATTTGTAACACGCGACGTGTTAATGGTAATTGAGTCACCTTAATGATACTTAAGTCAATGTCAAATAAACGCATGCCACCTAATTTTTATGCAGGCATATTATACATAAACAACACAATCACATTTTCTAAAATTACTTACGCAATTTATCTATTAGATTTTATTTCATTTAAATAAAGATACACAACTATGCGTTGACAGATAAAAGGACCTTTAATATAATAATTTTTCGTGAAAGGAAAAGTTAGAACAACTGTTCTAGTGAGCTTGAGAATGACCATATATTTAATACTATCAAGTGACTATAAAGTTTAGTAAGGACATTATCAACAGTAATGTCACGATATGCTATTTTTTATCTGTTACTTTCTATATTGCATCTTGTGACTTCTGAATTTTTGTGCCATGGAAAATATCGTTTTTGTGACATCCAGCCTTGGCAATCATGGTCATCATGTACCGCAAAGTGTGGAACTGGAACTCAATGGAGAAATAAACCCGTGTGCTGTGATCCGAATGTTATCGTACCATTTGGTTTAGGACGATGTTTAAATTATTGTAAAATAAATTCAAATCAAATACAAGAAGACAGAAAATGTGGAATATGTAACAACGGAACATACAATGATATTCAAAATAAATGCGATTGTTTCCATAAATATTCTGGTGTTTGTTGTGATCAAGGTAGGTTCAAATGAACAAGAGTTATGAATTGTTAAATTTGTTTTAGTTATAATACTGTTGAGGAAGAACATTAATTCCTTATATTTCAAATTTACAACTCTTTTTTTGTTTATAAATGCTGCATCAGCTCTCCATCATTGGTTTTAGGTTTTCGGTTCCAAGATATTTCTCTAATACCACTGCTAATATCACGTATTGGCAGTGTATTTACTAGATAATTTCAGTCCTGTAACTGATACCACGTATCAACTATCGTTCATCGAATGTTGATACCGGTTTTGTTATGTTTCTTGCTTGACATGTGCTTCTCAAAAACATGACGGACATTGTTTAAGAGGCGATATATGCGAAGCAGGAAATAGTTACATTGTCGGGTCATATTAGTTGTCTGCTTGCGAGTGAATATTGCAATCAGTATTCAACCAGTTATTAAAGTAAGGTTTTTGTGAATAATTTAGTTAGTAAACTTCTGCATACAGGATGAATGTTTTTTACACATGTTACACGCTTCGTGTCTTTTTATTTCAAATCTAAGAAATGAAATAAAGCCACATAGTAAACACACTTATACTAATGTAGAACGATACGACGGAGGTGCAAAATTTCCTTAACCGAGGCGACTTTATTCCATTTCGGCCCACCTTCCTCGTAGAACTCTCCTATTGTATTATGTTTACTGGACGTAAAGCAATCATCAATCAATCAACATATTTAATATTTAAACTATATCTTGAAACCTAAGACAAATTCTTAAATCCGTAAAGGACTCATTACGACAAGACTACAATGTTTAAATTTCTGCTTTGGAATGTACTGCAATTATTATTTACATTAGCGCTGTCAGGATGCAGACATTTGCTAATCTCCGCCGAATGACGTAAACACACAATTGATTGACGTGTCTAAAGCATACTATGCACAACAGCTGTTTTGATTTATCATCAACCAGCAAAAGCCTTTGCCCGAAATATTTCATTTTAACTATATTCCAAAATAAAGCATTTGAATTATTAATCAATAATTAGAAGTATTTATTTGAAAACGCCATTTAAATTTTTTGTTTTGAATTTCAACATTGACAATCCTTATCGTCCAGTTGCAAATATTGCATGCATATTTAGGGTTGTTTATTGTTAATTGTTTATGATTAATAACATACTTTGTACTAGACCGACAAGCTTATTTGGATGTTAAACGTGCAACATAAGGTAACATTCGATAACCTTTCCTGGGCACATTTTTCTTACTTTACCGGCCATCATTTATATATTTAAACAAGTGCTATACCTCCCGCATTATCATTATTATTATTATCAATATTGATTGGCAAACAAAAAAATCTTGATATTGATGTTGATAACAATAACATGTTATTCACTGTGATAATATATCTTATATTTTAGTTGCGCCAACAACTAAATTTGTACCAAGAACAAAAGCTACAACTACAACAATTGCGCCAACAACTAAACCGACGACTACAACTCCTAAACCAACGACAACAGCAACAACCAAGATGACTACAACAACAAAAACGACAACTGCTTCTACAACCAAACCAACTACTACACCTAAACCGACGACTACACCCAAACCGACGACTACACCTAAACCGACAACTACACCCAAACCGACTACACCAACGACTAAATCGACATCATCAACTAAAACTGTAAAACCTATAACCAAAGTTGCTACTCCAAAAACCAGACTAATTGTATCAACAACTAAGTCGAAAACACCAAGAACCAAAGCAGCAAGTACCCAAAGGAATGTTCCTAAAGCGTCGACAGCTTCGATTACAAAATTACTTCCCGTTAATACGATAACAAAATTGATAAATAAACCGACCATCCTAAAACAACAACTGAAATCAACTTCCAAAACACCAAAAGTACACACTACATCACATAGGAAACACAGAACAACTGCAAAACCGATTCAGGGTCGTTCGTCAAATAAATCACGATCACCAGTTAGCATTACAATAAATGGAAAACCAACTGTGAAGTCCCGTCTTAGTAGTGGAGGAACAAAAAACAGTCAGATATTAAACAATGGTAATATGTTTATCAGAACGACAACACACCAGGGAATAAATCTTGGTACCACAATACAACGATCCGGATGGAAGACTATGCAGGGAAACAGTCTAAGACCATTGAAAACAAACGTTCCATCGACACTCCAAGCACAAAATGTGGGTCAACAAACTATTAATGGTGCACTTTCAAAGACAAAAAATAATATTCCAACGTATTTTCCTCAAGGTGGTAATGGTAAGTACGTTGTTATGTGTTTATAGTATACAAATTTAATGAAGATCGATAAATAAATAATAGTAGTGGTAATAGTAATAGTAAAACATAGCAAAATAGGGGCAAGTTTTGCGAATCTGAAACATTATTTGTAGCTTACTCTCATCATATGTAAAAATTTGAAAAATATGAATTATTTATGAAGTTTTTATACCCTTTTTTCTATCTGCTTCTTTATTTTTTATATTAATCAACGTGTGATTCGCTCGATCTCAGTCCTTCAGTGGTAAATAATTTACGGCGTCAAATTGTCTTGCTCTGATTATGCTATTATGACGACAAGAACAAAAGGTGCGACCATGCCTAAGGACGTCACACAAAAAAATAAACATCATCGTTTTGCAGATCTTTGTAAAAGAAAAGTTAAGTATCTTTCTTATGGTTTAGAATTCATAAGAGAAGCAGATCTGGGGGTGGATCTCGTGTAATATTTCCTTACTCTATATAGTTAAATTTGAAACACTTTCAAATTGTGTCGATAGGAGAAATATCGAATCACATTCGATGCAGTCACCCTTTAACCGACAATGTGTACGGCAGATGCAATCGTTAACAGAAATCCAAGAAATGTTTTGCAGCATTGCAGATAGATAAAACTACGCGTAAGCAATAACACATGTACAGATAGAACGAAAAGTATTTTTGTTTAATTCAATGATATTTTATGCTCCAAGTAATGTTTTAATTACTATTTAAAACGTATAAAAAGGTCGGAAGAAGGGATGAAAGAGAGGGAGAACAGGATTATAAAATCTATAAAAAATCCCAAAGGGGCACCAGAAAAGAGACGGTAGAAAAGATATAATGTGTACAAGACGGAAGAAACATACCTTGACTGAATGAAAGCGGTATTTAACGCCAAACACATGCTATAAATACCTGTGTAGGACATTAAACACCGTCTCTATGATCAGTCAGTCAGTGTGTGCTTCTCCCGATTTCAACCACTTCTATCTTATATCACACCTTTTCCGGATCCACTAGGTGTCAGTTTCGAAGGTCTGCATAATTGAAACCTGTTTCACACTTATCACAATTAATATCGATTTGAGCCATATGATTTTTACCTTGTTTGTTTTACCCGTTTAGAAACTTCAACGACTGATGATGATAGGAGTGTTTAACGTCTTACACAGGAACGTCATCCTCTAAATCGAATGCTTCTTATTTTCATTTTGGTACAGTTTGCCGCTCATGCTAAACATTTTATTTGTCATGTCAGACGAATGATGATCAGGTTTGTTTTTTGAAGCTCAAACTTGTTCTTTTACACCGGATACCGTTTAGTACCACGGCGACTAGCTTGACAAGGCGCTAACCATTTCGATTCAAAACTGTTCTAGTTTTTGTCAATTTCAATTGTTTTACACTCTTCAATTATCAATTTAAATTTATTTCAAACAAAAATATTTTTTGAATCAGTATGAGGAAACCTATGATTGGACACCAATAGTAACTTTGAGTAAACCGGAAGTAGCTTCGTATCAATTATTTTGAAAATTGATGTAGAAGTACATTCAATTGTTCTCTGAACAATTGGTTTTTAATTTTCTTATTTTTCTTTCTTTTAAACTTTTTTTGTATTTAATAAGAAAAACACACAATCCGCATGATAATCTACATTATAGTAAAATGGCTGAACTAATGGTCGTTCTGACAAGTAACGTTTTTCTTTAGGGAAAATGACACGATTGTTCTATCCACTTTTAGAAAATGAGACAGTCATGCTAGAAATGTGTATATTATAATTGTAGTTAAGGGTTTTAACTTTTCAGAAACAAACAGTTCACAAGAAAAAACTCTTTAGAAACAGAATCAGTTTTGACCAAGCACATTTGAATGGACAATACTCGAATTTCAGAAATCTGTATTTCTTTTAAAGTGACCACCTAGAGCTTTAAATTCATTTACATTTTACTCACTTAACATCAGTTGTAATTAAGCCGGAAAAAAGTGAAATAACAAAAATACCGAACTCCAAGGAAACTTCAAAAAGTAAAGTCATTTATCACATGGCAAAATCAAAAGCTCAAACACATCAAACGAATGGAAAACAACTGCCATCGTCTTATCGTTTGTAGTTGTAAATCTTATTTTTTCTGTTCTATTCGTGTGTTACGGTAAAGATAATTAATCACCCAGTTCATTTATAAGATTTTAGTTTGGGTCAACTAAATTTATACGATGTATTTGGTTTACAGTTTGATTTAGAAGAAATACCGACATAGCTTGATAATAAAATTAGTTATCTAATTACTACCACAATTGTATATTAATAAGTATTGTAATTTGCATTGTTATTAATACATGTTAAATCAGTATTACAAACCTAGTCTTGAACTCTATCCTGTTTATTGGAAATTTATAGAAATTTATATGTGACGTCATATATATAGGTAATATACGCGTATATATACGCGTATAAAATTATATACGCGTATATAATCGCACAAATGACATGAACGGCCACTCATAATATTGTGCGTCGATCTCTTCGACTAACATATAATACGTTGTTCGGCTGTGCCTTTTTTATGTGCTGATTTAGGTTGTTTTACGTATTCGTTTTTATTCTGTAGCTAGTCACCACTTCGGTGTTAACATGTATATCTATTATATAGTTATTTTTATAAATTTACTGTTTGCAAAAGTATGAATTATTCTAAATACTAAGGATTTTCTTATCCCAGGCATATAACCTTTTGGAACTTTTGGTCCTCAATGCTCTTCAACTTTGTACTTGTTTTGGCTTTCGAACTTTTTTGATCTGAGCGTCACTGATGGGTCTTATGTAGACGAAACGCGCGTCTGGCGTATTCAATTATAAGCCTGGTACCTTTTGATAGCTATTATTTGTGTGTGTCTCTGTCCTGTTTGTTCTCCCATTTATTTGTATTGTAGTCCTGTCATGTAATCTTGTCATTTTAATGTTATATTTAACATTGCCATACAAGCAGGAGGTTTGGCTAGCCACAAAACCAAGTTCAACCCACTATTTTTTCTTAAAATGTCCTGTACCAAGTCAGGAAAATGGCCATTGTTATATTATAGTTCGTTTCTGTGTGTGTTGCATTTTAGTGTTGTGTTTCTGTTGTGTCGTTGTTCTCCTCTTATATTTGATGTGTTTCCCTCAGTTTTAGTTTGTAACCCGGATTTGTTTTGTTCTCAATCGATTTATGAATTTCGAATAGCGGTATACTACTGTTGCCTTTATCCATAACGATGTTCCTTCGTGCCACCTTGAAATCCATGGCTGTTATAAAAGACCAGAACGTTAATACTGTTGTAATGGAAAATAAAATTAGAGTCCTTAACTCTTTTTGTTGAGTAAATAATTTCTATGAAAGTTCTGTGTATTACTCAAAAGTAAAATAACAAAAATACCGAACTCCGAGGAAAATTCAAAACGGAAAGTCCATAATCAAATTGCAAAATTAAAAGCTAAAAACTCATCCAAGACTATGTTTATACCAGAAATATAAACTTTTATGGAAAATTTCTATCAGTTAGGAATGCTATAGATTGATTTATCATTGGGATTTTTTAAAAATAAAAACAAATATGGCGATCATTGGAAGATGTTTGAATATGAAAACAGTAACGATAAATTTAAAGTAGATTTACAACTTTTATTCATGATTGCCATCTTCCCACAAAATCTGCCGTCGGTGTTTGACGGGTCTGCTGTCCCGATTGACAAAACATATTGATTGAAAAATAGTATTACATTCCTGCCATGCCGATAAAAAAAATGTCGGATCTGCCTTACCGATTGGCCGTAATAGTATGTGTAGTGGTACATGTAGAATCTATATTTTGTATTTTTCTTGACCGTATTATTTATGAATAAAACAGTTGACCATTATAAAAGTAATCATCGAACAAGTTACTGTTATATTGTTGAACATTGCATCTTCAACGATCAATACATTGTTGTTTTAACAGTCTTGTATTATTGAATTTCAAGACAATTCATATATTTTCTTCGTTCTGTCTTTTTTACTCCTTTTTTTGCATTAATTCTTCACAGTTTTATAAGTACTTTTTACAAAATTTGAATGTCAACTTGTTTCTATAGGGTCACGCAGGTGATAATATCGTCCTCACAATTTATATAATAGGCACAGGCAACATTTCATACCATTCGCCAAATGGAAATGGGAACATGAATATGATGTCTAGTTGTCTTGGTGATCCATGTCAACACGGAACTTGCCTTCCCATGAGTAACCGGTATTTATGTTTTTGTGACCCTGGGTACGAAGGAAGGAACTGTCAAATTGGTAAGTATTACAGATACGAATGAAATAGAATATTAAAAAGAAAGATTTATATGTTTCATTTCGACAAACAAGCTCTTATGTCTTATCGATTTGTGATGTCAAAATATAAATGCAATTTGAATCTTCAAACAGTCTTTGAAAGACTATAATCAAACCTATATGTACACCCGAAAGATATATATCAGCTTTTAATGCGGGACATGATTTCTTATTCCAAGATGCAATTATGTTTTCCAAAACTTTGATATCATGTGTTTGTATATGATTGTTTTAAGTCCAGAATTTTTACATACCAAGAACCCATTAGTTAATCATTGATTCATGTTGCTTAATATTTTGTCTTATATTAAGAATAATTATATTTATCCCCACCCTACCATGTTAAGAGTTGCTTTCTATAGTGTTAGAATGTTTTATACTGGGTGAAATGAAAATAACGAAATTAATTGTAAAAGATATGAGTTGTATTGCAATGACTACTTTTATTAACAGTTCAAAATACACTGCAAGGCAGCGGACGCTTGATCTTTCTCTTTAAATTTACTTTTGACCAATTAATACATGTACTATGTGTTGTTCTTTAAATAAAAAAAATGAGAAACTATAAACGTAAATGAAA